AGCTCTTTCTTATGAACGAACTGACTATTACATAATTTTCAATATTGTTAATGGCTTCGTAATCTTTCAGCCAGTGTTCTGTAACACAAAACACGTCAACGGAAATATCGTGCAAAAAAAGACTTATTTCTAATGTTTTGCCAGAAAAGCCTTGAATATTTTGATGTACTACATGGAAACGATTAGACTTTTCTGTTGTCGTGTTTTTTCGTTTAAATTATGCTTATTAAAAAGTATACTGTTGCTACTTAAAGTAGGAGCATTGTCGTGGGACTGTGTTATATCTTCTATAACAGCGTCCTTAATATTAAAAGATAGCAAACTAGCTATATGTCTTAGATACCTTTGGGGTAAAAGTAAATTATCCTCAAAAAGATTGAAGTTCCTTACGAACTTATTAATATCAAAACAAAATATAACGTCACTATGACGGCAAGTCAAATTATGAATGTGCGAATTTATGTTGTATATATACTTATTACGAGCGATGCCTAGGTTAGAGCAGTAAGGGAATGCACTTAGTATGAATTTACACCCACACTTCTCATGAATTCTCAAGAACACGTCAATGCTACTATTTACTTCTTTTTTACTAATGTTAGTACTATCACCTATTATAAGAATCACTGTTGTATATTTATCAAAGTTGCAATCACTTAACAGTGTAATAATTTGACTAAAAGTAGCTCCTGGATAGCAATAGTTGACTACCCTTTGTTTTAAGTGGTTACTAAGGTGGTGGCCTAGTGGCAAGTTTTATTATTTAAGTATTCGCGTAAATTATCGTGCAATGTTAGATAATATTTCAGGTTACTACACTTGAATATAAATAATACTCTTCATAATAATATGCTACAATATTCAAAAAATAGAAAATGCCACCAAAATTATATTAGGTAGAGAACACTAACCTGAAAATTACCCGACAATAAATACGCTTCTGTAATAAGCTTCTTACTAATACTTCTCAGGGGATCTGCTTTATGAATGAGTAGTACTGTCTAATCAATTTGCCGATTTCAATGGTAATTTACTTACTTATGAAATAAAAATATATGTGAAAATATAAAAATATTGGTCACTAGTTTTTAAAACGAATTACCTAATTAAAAATATGGCTAAAACATTTTTGAGGATTTGGTTTGTTTGACAGATACTGAAAATTATATTACTGTATTTTCCATTACCAATCTGACCAATAAGGTGTTGTGACTGGTGAAGGAATCGGCGTCATGATTTGTTATGTTGGTACAAGGCATTTTGACGGGACACTAATTAAAAAGCTCTAATTAAGAATTTTTTTTAATACTAAGTGACAGGACGAACAAGTCGTGTGCCTGATGGTAAGCGACACGCCGGTCCCAAATAGTTGCAGTGCCACTCAGAGCTTTAAATCACAAAGATGACAAGTCCCATGTGCCTGAAATTTTCTTTATTTTTTTATAACATCAAGTGACAAACAAGTCGTGCGCGTGATGGTAAGCTGCCATAACAGTTTCACCAGCAGCCTTACCCTTCGAAACCGGAACGCAGTATTAATCACATTACTGCTTGGCGGCAAAAATAGGTCAGGTTTCAATTCAATTGTGTAAGATTTTTTCAGCCTTTTATCCTCAATTCATCCTTCCTGATAACATATTCGCACTGTAGACAGACAGACTTTATCAAATGCTCGGAAGCATACTTTTTATTCCCTCTTCTTTTGTGGGAAGTTAAGCTTTGAGCGTTAAAAAACAACGAAGCTGGATATGTACTTTTTCTCCGAAAGAAGATAAGAACATTTGGCTCTGCTGCTCATCTTTAGTCATATTAGAAGTGAAATTTATAACGATATACTTTTCCCATACGCCTGTGGTTATAGCAGTATTTTTAATACAAAAATAACAAACATTTTCCGAAGTAGACTTTTTCATTTGAAAAATAGCTCAGTTCATCTGAAGATAATAAGGGGTAGAGTATTGCGGGAAAGACAAATGCTTACGTTATGTAGCTAAACAGTATAGTAGACCAAATAAACGGTGACCAGAAAATATACTATACGTATTTAACAGAAAAAATAAATAATCGTTGAGATTTTAAGGGCACCTGGAAGGTGCACTTAAATAGAAGAAGAATGTAAATATATATACATTTATATTTCAGTACATAAAAATCGTTTTTTACAGAACCCAGGAAAAGAAAGACTGAGTTCTTTTATACACTAATGGACATATTTAGATAAACGCTAAATAACAATGTTCATAATACGAACCACTGGTCACATTTCATAGTACGTTTAATTTGTTTGATTGATTAAAATTGCAGTAGTAAATGTTAAAATAACACTCTTATTATCTTGCATGTTGTCTTCACCTATAATTGCTATAGCATTAAGCTTTTGTTTTGTATTGTTAAATATTTGAATGTTGTAATGTATATAGTTTTGGTGAGCTAAATAAATAAATAAAATAAAAAATAAAATAAAATAAAATTACTTCAATCGTCTTTTGATTTCGACTAAACGTTCTGGTATACGTGATCAGTGGTTACTATGAACGTTATTATCATAGTTCACCTTTTTTTAGCGTTCATCTAAATATGTCCTGGAGTAAGCACCTATACAACGTTTTAAGTGGTTTGTTTCGTTAGTTTGTTTGTTCCTATCTGTTCATGAAGATGCCGAAAAAATAGAAAGGATATGCTTGTGTACTATCTCCTTTCAAACAGACTTATGTCTTCACGATTCTACTTTATTTGTTTTAATCACCTTGTTTAGCTTTCTATCTAATTTTTTCTCTCAATCATGTACTTATGAACGTTTTCTTTGATAACCGTTGCCGGTTTGTTATAACGTAAATAAAAGGTGAATTTTATACACAGCACTGTGTACACAACCTGTAGCACATGTGTAGTATTTTTCCCATTACCTATCCATATTTGAACAAAGTTTTGTTTTTGAATATTATTTGAGGCATAATAACTTTATCCTTGATACGTCACGACTGTATGATTTGTAATATAAAATTACGCCTTAAATTGTAAAAAAAACAAACCCTGACCTTCGTTTCCGCAGTCCATGGCTAACAATACCTGCTCGGAACATACATTACTACACATGACCATTCCCCGTTACTATATTGTTGGCCATTGACCTCTTAAGTGTTGACTTGACATGTTCCTATAGTTTCTCACGTTTGCGCTACCACGGTCTGACTTGGTTGTACTACGGTACTGCCAATACATCATAGGTGCAGGTACAGACAGCACCACTTCTGCATTCTCATTGCAGGCATACAGGGAAATTTTCAATAGCAAATTATTTCCATACAGATCAGTTGTTCATGAATTCGTTTAGCAAACAAGAATGTAACATTTTTGTCGGAGGTATCAAATATCTATGAAGGCCGATTGAGGAGCTTTCAGAAACATTGAAAATTAAATTATATTAATGACACGCAGGATACTTTATTTACTTACATACGCATGGAAAATATTACCCTCAAATTAGTCGGGTAAAACTTTGCGTCTACATGAAATTAAATTTATTTACTCAAAATAGGGTGAACGTGACATTTACATAATTTAAAATTAATTATATTGTAAATAATACCAATTGACATACACAAACGTGTTGAAGATCCATGCTGAATGGAAATAACGTGATAATCCATTGTTAATTTTTATTTAAAAAAATAAGAAAACTTCAACGACAACTGTGAACCTACTTCGGACACAACAACCAGTATGTAGAATAGTAGTAGTAACATTTTTTATTCTTTGGAAAATGGGACCTACTCTCAAAGCACGAAATCCGTAGTTACAGCCGTTTTCCCACTATGGATGACTTACAAACCCGAGTTTCGATGGGGGCTAGACTTGACCGTTTCGAACAAGCTCGTCTCTTAGAGAATAGTTCCGTAGGTCATTTTATTATTATTAGATTGTGACTATTCTTCAATAGTTTAATCTTCTGAAATATTCACTCGGAAAATTGTTATATGTTTGTAGTGGCCATTTTGAAAACACCGGCATCGAAACTCATACACATCTGTCATACGTCAACTCTATCCTTCTCTCTCACACTTCATTATTCAAAAACTATCCATTCACACTTTGTTGGAGCGGTGATGGTGATTTGTGACGTATGTTATGAATTAAAATTATCTAATAATTTAGATACGCAATATATAAAGAAAGTAAGAAAATAAAATACTATCTTTAACAACGTATTTTACAACGATTTTCAAGAAAACAAAGGAATATTACGACATCAATAAACGAGTAAAGCAATTACGAAAATTTCACAAGATTAATTGTTCATAACCATCTCGATAACATAATTAATAAGACACTTACATTCTTTAAATCATAGCATACTAAAAGCAGCACTATGGTAACAGTGAAATTAATGGAAACGATACGATATTTCAGTTATTGATGCATTATGTCGATATAAACATGTCTTTTATATTTCTACGGGCTGTAGCAAAACAAGTTTAGAGGATATTTCAGCAAGTGACCGTAGCTGTACTGATAATACCAAGTTACTTTATAAGAAAATAATATGAAATAATTTTTTGAACAGGAGACACAAAATTTTCGTCGCGGCGTTGTTTGCTAAAGTTGTTGATGAATTTATGAAAAATGATGATGTATTTTACATAAAAAAAACCCAAATATTGCCAACTAATTGTTACCTTACCTTGTATACGTACAAATTTATGAATTTCTACAATACAATATATATAATAATTGTATTACAAACAAGACTAAACACAAAACATAACAAACAGAAGACAAAGATAAAATACCAACAGGCAACCACCTAACTTGATATGCCTACTGATATACATATATCTATACTAGTACCTTTTTTAAAATAACGAAGATGTAATGTTCCAGGGAGCGAATGATAAACTTTTTTTTCTAAAAAATTAAGAAGTTAAAGAATTGCAAAATAGGCAAAAAAAAATAGGATTATTATATTAAACAATATCATAAGGAACATTAGCAGTACTTACGCTGGTCGTTTACATTGGAATGAGCCATGACGGTGCCGTTTGGGAGCACGTTGACGAACATATGAGAGCACCGGCTGTACAGGCGCACTGACCTGACCATCGACGGCACCGCACCGCAAATCACCACCTGCACACGAACAAATGCACCAATGTAATAAATATAAATTTAAATACACAATGAACATACTTGAATCATCCAGCCCATGAGTGCATTATATTCCATTATACATTTTATATATTAAAGTTTAATTAACTCCTCTAATATATTGTTTTCACAGCTACGCAACATGTTTTAGTGCCATACTTTTGGAAAATGTTTAATCACTTGTCACTATATCGGTTTTGTTTTATATATCGCCCAATAAGTCTGTGACGAAAAGGTCAACATACTTGATAAAATATTTGAGTAATAAATTAGAAACATTGGTTGGAAAACGGCGTTTGCGATTACACAGGATGCATTGAAAAATTTAAATGACGCACAAACTGAAAAATTCCGGAGTCTTTGAATGACATTCTTATAGTATTAACGACACTGACTACTAAAGAACGGGCGAATCCAATCCTTGTTTTCCTAAATCGACAGTTACGGCGAATTATGATAAGTTGGTTGTAGAACTGGCAGAACCTTACGGCTCATTATAGACTGCGACTACAAATGCGAATTTATTTCCTCTGTCAAGATTAACAATTGTCAAAGTGTGAAAATTATGCGTGTGTGAAACATTGAAAACAGCTACTTCAGTAAGTGGAGAAGTGAACGAATCTTAGGTAATTGACTAGTAACACGCCATGAAAGTTTACAGTGTAAGTAATTCTATGAGAGATTATCGAGCATTATCTTTAAATGAAAACTTGAAGTTCTACGAAATCATTTTCTACGTTTACTGGTTCCGCGTATTAATTCAACGCTAACTTTCAGTTGAAGTACGCAGTGAATCTCTAAAATCGTGGAAGTATGTCCGGGATGTTTTCTTTGAACTTCGTTAGCACCAGGCAGTTGTGACGTCTTTATTCCAACCATAAATCAATAGAAGCAGTAGTATTTACAAGTGCTAATGAAAAGAAAAATCTTTCTGGCACTATTGCGTGTGGTCCATATCTACTTTCAACCACGTGTCTGGTAGTTTAAATTAGTTTCCTTATACTGTTAATTGCTTTCACTGGGATTTTAATGGCGCCTTGTAGGAGACACCTCATTACGTCGATATTGATCAACAACCTATCTCCTGTGACCCCTTGAACTACACGAATTGCAATTTACTTCACTACCTCAAAACTGTTAGAATGAAGTGTTATTACAGTATCTTTATTGACATTAACTTCTAGGTGATTTACTTAAATTTGATTTACGATTACTAGACATTCTAATGAACTCTAAAGGCTCTCTGCAATTTCCTCTGCGTTGTCGTTTTCCCCCTGCTCACTTACAATATGTCGATCAAAGGTTTTTCTTCTATCATCAAGTGAATAGGTTTTGTATTAACCAATGAATACTGTGTAAGGAATATTGTTAAACTATTAAGAAATAATTGTTTAGATGCATTTATTTACCCTTTCATGATGGTATTATTCATAAGTCCTAAGCAATGGCATAAAATTTTGTAATTATTACTAGAACCGGGTACAAGCGCACAATAAGGAAACAATCGATCGTTTCAATGGGTCAGGCGTGCACGGCTAATCCGTCTACCCGAGGGTTCCATGTTCCGTAACAAACAATTTTAAATCGTATTTATTGACAATAACGGTGCACTTTACTGTGTCAACTACAGCAGTTTTATGTTATTTTGTAGTTGAATACACGGTGTCATATTCAGGTGGGAAAGCATAGGCTACCGCGGTCACCATTCAGTATTGCGTTTCAAGTTTTTGTAAACAATACTGGGATTTAACTTTTATATAAGGAGAACTTTCTTTAGGAAACGAATTCTAATAATCCAGGTCCTTTTATAACACACAATGAATTGCCGGTCGTACTAATGCAATAAAACAGAATTGTCAAAATCACGATGAAGGATTTGTTTATTAGTCACGCAGTGCATTGTCAGTTATATGTGCCCGCCATGAACGGATCGGAGGTCACTGCTCTGTTGTCATTGGTCTTATCTTTCCCGAACCCAGTGCTCGCATTATTACCAGTTGATTACATGTCAATCCCATCGAAACTATCCAGCACGAGTATATCGGAAATTTTCAAGGTACTTGAAAGTAGACAATCGATCAATATTATGAAATTTACGAACGATAATAGAGCGCGAAAGACGTCAGAAGATAGTGCAGGTGACATATTTTTTAATGTGTTTTGATATTGAACAATTTTAAAAAGTATTAGATAAGTAACGACAATCTCGTTACACTAATTACTATTATATAATTCAGCTTTTAATGCAGTATTTGAAATCACCAGAAACTTTACCCTCGTGATCTTATGACTACTACATTTGAATGCCAATGTAATTCGACTTGTTTATGCAATTGAAGAAAAGCAGAGTAAAGTAGTAAAGCACATAAATCCATTTCTTAACTATATCATATTCCACTGAAAATTTCAGCTAAGCCTACGTGTCATTGTAATCGACATTTATCAAATTTCACCTAAACATTTTATTCCTTGTCAGAAATAAAACTAGGGCATGAATGTACTGCGCAATAAAATAAATAGAAATCAGTTAATATTTATTTCTTCTCGGTACAACTTAATAATCTTGTCACTAAGGAGGTGATAGCCTAATTTCATGTGGCGACCGTATGTGGACACTTTTATCATGCACCTTTAAGACGGATAAGGCCGGCCACACGCAAAAGATAACGACTACGTAACATGGGTGTTTCTCCATTGCTACGACATCCGATTCAAGTTTGTCCGATGGTGAAATCCAGACTAATCGGGTATCGGAAGAGTAGTGGACACGCGGATATTATAAACTTTGAGTATCAATATGAGACCAGCAATAAATAAATATCGGAAATACATAAGGCAGTTGAACGAAGACTTTACGAGTTAGAGAGCATCAAAATATGTTTTTAAGCAGACATTTTTTTAAAAGCCTGTGTACAAACAGTCATACTTTTATTGCAGCTGTTAGGTTCTATAAATCAAAACAACACAATAACGCATAAATACAAAGTTAAGCACGGCGACAGGATGTCTAAGGTGAAAAACATATGAGAGATAAAATTAAAATTAAGTAGATGAAACGCACCATAGATATAATTATACAAATAAATTATTAATAAACTAATACATTCTACTTATCGCTTCTTTTTTATATAACCGGTTTGATAATTTTGAAAACCTCACTCACTTTTTATCGTAAATTTAAATCATGTGTAAATTATTAGGTGTTTACCTGCCTAACTCGCTTCAAAAATGAAGAAGAAACTTTAATTCCACTTCAATCCACAAGTCTCCTCTAAGAAGAAGATATATTCCATAATACACGCAGGTCAGTACATAAGCAAGGAAGCAAATTCGTAAATTCTTATTTGTGATTATGTAAATTTTGGAGTGTTAAACATTACAGTTATAGTGAGACAACTATTGAAAACAAATAGACAGGTATTATGTTCCGTATACTGTACATTACTAGTTTCAGGTCACTTAACGGATCTCAATATGATGCCTAAACGACTCATACGACTAAAGCCAAAGCGCCGAATGTGTTAAGTGATTTAACACGAAATGACATTAAACTTTTAGAATTATTCTTATCGACATTTGCAGTGCCGGATTAAGTATCGTAATTGTGTGGTGTCCCTTTTTAATTCTCCTTTTTATAAAAAAGCTTCACTGCAGTAGGACGGGCATTCATCCCGGAACCTCGTCTCGAAAATTTTTTGGGTCTCCTTGATTTTTTTACATTTCTAAGACTTGAGACTTATGTTTCCAGTCTCGGGAATATCGAGATTTGAAAGACTTAAGTCACTTAATTAAAGAGCATTCAAAGTATACTAAACTAACAGTCATTTTTATTCTGGTTTTGTCTTTCTTGTATGTCTGGCGTACCCTGATCGGCGAGTATCGTACGCCGCTTGGCAAATCCTTTCACCACGATGGCAAGCATTATAGTGTTTGCCATCTATACGAATAACAGGATAATGGTAACATGGATGGACATGGCGACACTGTAGAGTGAAGCTTAGTATAATCTGTGCAGATCGAAGCACGATAGTTGTAAAATCTAGTCCTCCCTACCTGAAACTATATTAAATTCTTATATATAATATATAATTAATCTCTTATTTATAATAATATAACACAATGTAACATAATTGCTGATTTTATAATTTAAGTTTATAAAGAACTTAATTAAAATATCATGTTTTGACTGGCTATAAGTATGAAAACCTACTTTCAATAGTCTCGAAAGTGTCTGTTTACTCGGAATTTTCGAAACCGCACCAGTTTTTTTAACCGGCATGCGGAAATGGAGCAAGACTGAAAACCCTACTGCTGTAATGAATATGGATGAGGTAAGCGAGTACATAAACTATATCCTTGCGACGAACTGGATAAGACTAAAATACCTACAAACAATCACTTTTTGGTTTTGCAAATTTAAAATTTCAATTGTGGGCGCAAGCTTTTTCGTTATGTCTATGCTTCCATATCGGAAAATTGGTACTTTACTTTGCTTGAGAATTATGAACTTGTATATCCTGTCGCAATTTAAAAATTGTGTCTGATTTAACTCTATCCATAGTTAACAACGTTTACGTAGTTCTACTATTAATAATATTGATAGTAGAGATTTAACATAAAATAACACGTGTATCTATACATATACATTTATTCGTGTTTATGTAACTTGAAACCACCAAAAACGAAAATACCCATTCAATTTTTTCAAAATATAAGTAATAATAAAAAATCGCTGCCACGATTTCACAAAGTGAAGCTACCTTCTCGACATGATTTCTTAATTGAGAATCTCATGATCGGGCTATTCAATAAAGGTAAATTTCTTCATAAGCGTGGAGTATTTGCGCACGCAATCTGCGTAAATGGCGCGGCCGCTAAACACCCGCATGGACTATTACCTCGAAGCTTACTTATTACCCTCTTGCCCGGATCTAGTAAGAGAAATTTTGTACTTTAATAAAATGTAGCTTTTTACGTTCACAAATTAAATAATATCTGGTATATAATATACTCACAGTGTTTGTATTATTTTAAATGTAAATACTGGCACTGATCTGCATAAAGCAATTCAATATAATTTCTTTAACATCAAACCACTATAATTGGATTAAAAAATGGGACGTGAGCATTTAAATCTTTAAAATATACTTTATACTACATTCTACTTGAACTCACAAAGAAATAAGCGTCCATGTTGTGCGTTAGTATGCAAAGACAGAACTTTTTCTTCCAAATACCGACAAAGTTCTACAACAAATTTATAGAATAAGATTATCTAATCAGTCCCTGTAAATATATCTTTAACAGGGCAAGGATAAAAATTAGATTGTTATCAAAAACCGATCTATTGGTGATATTGTGATTCCCCTTCGTAAAATGAGGCTCTGAAATAGTTTTTTTCGCAGGAATGCCATTTACTATCTCGTACCAGAGTATCAAAATTTATTGCTAATTTTAATCAGCAGGAACCATCTTGAACCAATAAAAACTAAAAACGTACTATCTGTTTTTTCTTTGACCTAGTTGGAAATTGTTTGTTTTGTGAAATATAACAATATGACAATCACTCGCTAAGGCAGAAAATCAGCGAGGGCTTTCTACACCATACTCCCGGTAGCCGAACCGATGGCCCTCTTTGACACTTCATTTTTTGTTCTTTTTTTTATGTGTGTCATTTATGGTAGTCAAATAAATGTATTTTCTTTATATCTAACTTTTGTACATTTTATCACACACAAATAATGTAATATTGATTGTTATACAGGAAATCATTTTGATCGTTTTGATATTTTTAAATCGGTACTCGCTGAATAGTGGCTAAAGTCGATCAAGCTTATCCAAGGTTAATGGGAATAAAATGATGATTTCAATCAAAATAATCATTTCACTTTAATAACACAAACTGACCTTTTCCATTTATAATCTGATGTACCTACTATTACTTTTAACCATCCACTATTTAAAATGGAAATATTCTTCAAACAAACTGAATATTATTTTAAGTAATTTAGCACCTACTTTAAAACCACATTTCGAGCAATATGTTGAGACAAAGATCTCTTGATTAAGTCTTGTTGTTATTAAAGTGACATCTTTAGTCAGCTGCTGGTAGCTGTAAAGGTACCTAGCTGAGTTAAGGAATAGATTTCTCACAGATGGCGCTACAGCAAAAAGTCGTTAAAAATCAAATCAAAGAAAGAAAGAAAGAAAGAAAGAAACATTTATTCAGTACCTTTAAATTGTATGTACATAAAAATAATTTAAAAACTAAAATTACTGATACTGAATGGGCACCGCTCAGCATGTGCCGTGCAGCAAAGCTGCAACAAGCACATAGAAAAATCATAAGGCCTGCTGGATCGGTCCGTGGCTTACTTAGCAGAGCGCCTACCATGGATTGCTGGAATGTGCTGGTTCGAATGCAGCCGTATCGAAGGAATTTTAATTGGTGTTCGATCTTTGTATTAGTAATTATAACAAACCAGTAGAGTAATTTCACAAAAAATAATTTAATATCATGATAGTAAAACATCGTGACATTTAACTTATAGTCTTGTTTTTTAAGAACTGTACTCGTAGATATAATTCAGAAAAATGCTAAAAAAGGTTGAATTAACAACGTTCATAACATGAACCACTGGCTACATATAGCAGAACGAATTAATCGAAATCAAAGGACCATAAAAATCTTTTTTTTTTTTCAAATCAAACGTCCAGATATAAGTTAGTAGTTTAGCTAGTGGTTCATATGCACATTGTATTTCTGCCTTTTTCTAGCGTTTCACGTGTCAATGATTGTATATTTCCATTCGCGTACAGATTTTCTCACTACATCAATACAATTGGCATTATTTTGTTGATTCATAATCTCAGTACAGAGTACTAAAAAAACCGACCTCAAAAGTACGTAGAACTACATATAATTACCAAGTTTTATTGAAATCGGTTACCGGAAAGTGCACAACCCCGGATTCATCCCCTATTTCGCCACTATACGGGACTTGACACAGGAGGTAATAACAAAAATCGGTTCTCACTACTCAAAGTATATGGACAGAGAAAAACGCCTTGAATTGGAGAATAGCAAAATCAACCATTAAAATAATTGCTTCTTATAATAAAATTTAGGCGCTATTTATAAAAGTGAGTCTTCATGGGTGAACAGCTACCCTTAGAGGTGGATGATTTTCTTCAAAATTAAATGAGACCACTATGGAGGAGGGTCTTTCCAAAAAAATGTAAATATGAAAACGGTTCACAAATACCTGAGCTATCGCGTAACATACATACAAAAAAACATACAGTCGTACTGAGAACCTCCTCCTTTTTTGAAGTCGGTTAAAAATTACTAAAAGTAAAAGAGAGAACTTACCATTATTACTAACTACTTTTACTTAAAATAACCATTTGGAACCACGTCAGCCTCGTTGGATTGCGATTAGACTTTCATGAAAGGCGAACGAAGTTAATTCCACTATTTTTCACTCGTTATTACAGATTGATACTGGTGATGTAATTCTTACAAACAACGCTTTTACCAGACAATCACACTAATTCCTAAAATCTCCAACTGAGGAATTCCTTTTACGTATTATGGTTAGAAGAGTAAGGAAATTAAGTCCGGAAGCACAGACACTAGGACCAAAACCAATTTTAAAAGTTCGTTTTTCCACATTGGTCCTACTGAGATTTCTCAGTAGGACCAATTTGATTAGGAGTCTCAAAGCAAACTTTTTGCGCTACGTGAGGACATCACAGTTTGAAATCAAACTTCATATAGCGCAAAAAGTTTGCTTTACGTATTCGAGTTTCTCTAGAGTTTTCAACATTATGATCTTCAAGGAAATCTGCCATATGAGTAAGTGAATTTTGAATATCTTACCTATGGAATAAGTTACCAGTTCCACTTATAATTGTAGGTTGTGATTGTATCTTGCACAATCTTGTACGGATTATACATTGTTAGATTACAATAAAATAATATTACTATTAAATTGTAACCTTACGTTCCATTTTCGTTATAATATTATACTCACAAAAATTTGCCAACAAACTCTATTATTTGTGCAGAATATTTTAAAGAGATCTTAAAGAAATCCAATTTTAAGATCGCTATTCCTGTACGTTCTATTATAGGTGTTTATATCTTGTTGTAACTACCGAAATTTTAACTGTTAAAGTAAATTACGTACCACACTGATTTACTAACTTTACGTAATAATTGAGAGAAATGCGTATTCGCGATTAAATTACTCAAATTAATAAAGAGTATTTTTTCTTCGTCCACTTTATTTAGTAACTCAATTAGTTTCTTAAAACATGGACAATCTCAAACAAAAACAAATAACTCAATCAACAAATAAATCAATGTAAACAAAATTAATTCAAATGTCAAATCACTTCTTTATTTAATGAATAACATAAAAAATAACAATTACAAACATTGTGAACGATATTATGTATTTAGTTCAAGTAGTCGATAACCTTTAATGATTATTTATTTAATAGTTTTTTCTGCTGTAAATCGATTATACTCTGATTGGTGCCGGTTACCTGTTTAACTCATTTTTTAATTAAGATAATTGAATACAATAAAAATTTGATTACATAATTTACAATGCCGATTGGCTTAATATAGAAAATTAAAATTTAATACAGATTTTACATTTTATCGACCTTTTTCTTTTTTATAAAAAATGTTCCATTATATGGGAATAGGTAATTAGTAAGTTAATTTAATTGTTATTTACGAAAATATGTGATGTAACTATATGTACATATCATACCAACCCCTATTGTAAGAACATAAAAAATTTTAAACAAGAAACGAAATTATTATTTTTTTAAATTGACACGATATGCGGCAATATTTACAGTAACACTAAAACTTACCATCAGGAGGCACAATATCTTCGCAGAGACGGCAAGCTGTGGTAACCTGCAAATAAGAAAAAATACATCAGTTTTCTTTGAACTCTAATATTTCACAAATTTTAAAAAGGACGAGAAGAAAATTAAGAACTATAATGACATTATAAATGCGCAGAATTACTATTTTAAACACATTTCAGGAACCTGAAGTTCAGTTTCGTGCATTACACACGGATTGAAATTACAATAAATATGTCTCTGGAAACTTTTCTTAAAATTGTGTGATATCTTACTCATACAATATTACCAACATGAACATCAGACGTCCTGGGTGATTTTTAGTTGCATTGAAATATTTATTATGAAAATCGAATACTTTCGCTATATATATTGTAACTTTGTCACTTTATATACCGTCAAGTTTATGTAACTGTATATGAAATAACAGGTATGTGAACAATATTTATTTATTTAAATCCGTTGTCCGACACACAAAACGAGTCTACTTGAAAATGGAAAGCGCAAACATCGTTGAGTGTATTTGTACAGTACTAAAATAGTTGATTGAACTGACAATTGAAAAATAAGTGTATTATTTAAATAACTTTAAGATTTGTTTATTCCAGTTCATAGAATGCAAATGCGATGTAAACAATGATTGTAATATTATACAACAACAATACTATTGTAACTAATTTTCAATAACTTTTTCATTGAAAAAAAAACCTACCTCAAAATTTGCTTATCGACTTTTTTCGATTTCCATGGGATCCCCATGGATCCCTCATCAGATTCTGTATTCTTGGTGACAATGGACTGTTACGCACTCCTTTGTACACTTTATATATTTTATTTTCTGGGTGTCATGGAGACGTTGATTTGTTGATTACAAGTATATTGTGTCAAGTGAAAAGTCGACTTTTATTTGCGGAAAATAAGTAGTCATTTGTGATTGCCGAAACAAATCCGGAACAGCATCAGAGACCACCTCGAAAGTATACTCTTTCAAACAAAAGAAGAATTTTGAAAATCGGTGAAGAATTGATGGAGAAATTGGTGAATACACGGACATGGCTATAAAATTTGAGGATTTCCTTCGATTTTCATGAAATCCTCTCATCAGATTCTGACTTGATGACAATGGGACCACAACAAGAGTGCACCCTTTCAAACAAAGAATTTTCAAAATCATATACATACATAAAATAATATACAAATACAGCCGAACGTATAATCTTTTCCTTTTTTTTAATTATCGATTAAAAAGATTGTCCGTGGTTTCAGTATTGGTTTCTGTTTCATTGATTCAGCAGGAAGTATATAGAAAAGAATAGCTATACCTCCGAAACGTTACTTTGGCTGTCACAGTGGTATTTACATTACAGCCTTATTTTAACCTTGGGAGTATCGAGAATTTTGAAGCTTACGTCGCTTAATTAAGCAACTAAACCAATGGGCGCTGGAAGAGTCCTAAGGCGGTAGGGACCTCGAAAGCAAAAATGCTCTCCTGAAAAAACCTGAATTATCTATGTTATAAACACACATACATACTATACACCGCATTTGTAATTTTTTCCTTATGATTTTTTGTGTTAATTTAAATAATACGTGTTTTCAATTATTTTTTGTGGTGGTGGGAGTTGAAATATTTTTTATCTTGCCTAAATAGGCGGTGAGTTACAAAGGTTGGAACCCTATGAACTAAACCAACAGTATATTTTTATTCAGGTTACATAGACATGGTAACACTGTAAGGGAGAGCTTAGTATAATCCTTCTATATTATCTTGAAACGAACTTTGATTCTCACGAACCCAGTATATATATTTTCTTTTTTATAAAATTTAAGTGCGCATTTGACCTCCATCTCACCTGTACACCTAAATAATGCCTATTCACTCTCGCCTTGAAAAGACCCGAGTTATAACGTTCAGGGAACAAGTCTGCAGGCTGGGAATTCCACTCCATAGCCGTTCGCCATATAAATGTGGAAGCGTAACGCTTCGTGCGAATCTTTGGAATATCCACAACATAGGGGTGGAACCCAAGCCTACGCCTAGTGATGGAAAAGGGAAGGCAGAATTAAATCGTGTAATTCCATCGCACACTCTCTGTGATATATCCTGTAAAATACCCATAAGCAGGCAACTTTACGGAGGTATTCAAGGCTCTGCAGCTTCGCCTCCACTAATTCCGTATCACCTATAAGCCTCTTGACACGCTTGTCAATTGAATCCAAAGTGGCCAGTTATACGTAGCAGAGCCATCCCAAAGGTGGCAGCAGTACTCCATGCACGATCGGACTTGTGCTTGGTACAGCTGAAATAACTGTCCCGGTATAAAGTAACGGCTCACCCTGGAAAGGATTCCAAGTTTCCTTGCTGCATTTTCGACCATGGATTCAATATATCTGCCGAAGTTCAAATTGGACGACAGGTCCATTCCAAGTAGCTGGAGAAAGTCGGCTATCGGTATGGATATATCACGAAAAGTCGGTGTCAGCTCAAAGGGACTTGGTAGGGGGGTTTTGGTAGCGTTAAATTTAACAAGATTGTCATTACCCCAATCGGAGACTATCTGGAGTGTCAAATCTAAACGGCTAACAGTGGACTCTCGACAAGACTGGATTTCCTCTCCACTGACCCTTACATTGGTCAAGTACCTATCTACAACTATGCTGTCATCAGCATACGCAAAGGTGCCTGGAATTAACATATCATTGATATGCAGCAGAAAGAGAGTTGCAGACAGTACGGAACCTTGAGGAACTCCAGAATCTATCGCCATATGTTCGGAAGAGTACCCTTCTAAGACCACTCGAATCGAACGTTCGCTCAAGAAATCCGAGATCCAATTGTAAAGGTCAGTGGGAAGCCCATAACATGTAAGCTTGCTTAAAAGGCTTGCGTGCCAGACCATGTCAAAGGCTTTAGAAATGTCCAAAGACACTGCAAGTGCTTCGCCTTGCTTTCCTATCCTCGCTCCATATGTGACAGGCATACACAAGAAGATCCCCAGTATATAGCCCTGGTCAGAGTCCGTACTGGTGATCACTGAGGAGGTCGTTGTCTTCAAGGTACGATAGGAGACGGTTGTTGAGTACACGTTCCATAGTCTTGCAGAGTATGGAACTGACTGAGAGAGGTCCTTCCCTTTTTTGGCACAGGTTGCACGTTTGTAAGCTTCCACGATCTGGGAACTACACCAGTCTCAAGTGAGAGGCGGTACAGGCGTGTGAGGACAGGATACAACTCAGGCGCACAGTTGCGCAGGACTATTGCGGGAATTCCATGTGGCCCGCTAGCTTTATACTATGTCTAGATTTCGTAGAATGAAAAAACTTTAATAAATAATTGTTTATTTTATAAATTAACTAAAGTTTTCCCCGGTTTTCGAGATCACACCATAACACGGTTTATTTTCCTGAACCAGAGAAATGCAACAAGACTGAAAGCCTTATGCATCACAACTCTTTTTCCTACTAGTAACAAAATAGTTTCGATCGTGTCTCCTTAATGTACTTGGATGAAAACCCAGTTCTGCAATTTATAACTAGTAATAAATTTCAAACAACATTCCAATTCACATATCGATGGGTTTTAGAATAGCTTATCTAAAACCAACTATCTTTCTGAGATTTCTTAAAAAATCGTATCAACTTGCACCACGCACGAACTCCCAACATTATCACGTGGTTATTCTAGCCAATTGAAAGCTCTGTGTAACATTTTCAATTAAATTTACACATACTCACTTTCAATATCATACACATAACCATTACAAACATAATACCACATCATAACGAGTAACATGACCCATATAAATAATATTACTGCTGCATATTTATATATTACTTATAAAGGGGCAAAAATGACGTTCATACGCCACTGCATCGTGCAATCGATGAAATTCGACCTTTAGATACAGCACGTACTGTACATTGATTATATTATTTTATAAATTAGTACTAAATCGGACTGTATATATGTAGATGCAAAATATATAATCAAAAGTGTCTATGGCTAAACACGGTTTTGCCAGTTACTGAAAATCAGGTCTTTTTTTTAAACACCAGTGGTTTTTAATCAATTACAAAATTTAATAAATTTATAAAGTTATTTTTATTTAACTTTAATGAAGTAACCAAATATTTTAAAAATATACCTTGATCCCTAGACACTTTTTGATGTGTGTATTACATATAGAGTTCATTACACAAAAGTAGGAAAATAAGCACAAAGCCAAAACAATGGGAGATTAAAAACATTTATGTAAAAAGGCGCCAAAAACATGTACGGTCGAATTTAGAACGTATAATAAAAGCGGTGAAACTAATAAGATTATAAACAAATATAAAAAGATTTGTAGTGGTTTTCAGTAGGCTATAAATACTATAAATAGTTTTTACTTCAATTCCTGTTTCTTGTGCACATGAAACACTATTCCCACAAAGGAATTGTCATAACTGATTATGTTTTGTAATGATATTGTTTATTTACTTTTTATGCCTATTCGCATTGCGTCATGAAGAAAATAACTTACACAATGGATTTGTATGCACAAGTGATACATTAATACGTACACCATTAGGTTGATATAATGCACAGAATTATAACTGACGTGTTCAAGTGATTTGTTTCACTACTCTCCACAATTGACCATACAAAACTTAAATATGCAGTGTATTAAAAAGGTGGTTCGATATCATCGATAAAGTATCTATGAAACGAATTTTTAACTGTCTATATTTCTGTTAAAAATACCATATTTTGAGAATGTATTTAGTAGCAGTAGAGATCCTTGTGAAAGAGATCGTCGATGCATTCCGGTTTTGAAGGGTAAAGGTGCTGGTGAAATTACAGGCAAATGGAACTTGTCAACTTATATCTCAGAGTGACCGGCGTAGTCACAGTGCCCCTCAGATCTTTGCGATTTTAACGACAAGCGTGTCGCTTACCCCCAGGCTCACGACTTGTTCGTCTGACGGGACAAGTGACGACTTGTTATCATAAAAAAAATGCATTCCATGTATCAACCCATATAAATGCCACTGTTTGGAGCGGACCGG